CAATCTCCTTCTTTCGTGCCCAAGTGATTCTCCTGCCTCAGCCTCCTAAGTAGCTGGGATGACGGGCATGCACCACTATGCCTGGCTAATTTTTTGTATTTTTAGTAGAAACAGGGTTTCTCCATGTTGGTCAGGCTGGCTTTGAACTCCAAACCTCAGGTGATCCACTCACCTCGGCCTCCCAAAGTGCTGGGATTACAGGTGTGAGCCACTGCGCCCGGCCAGTTGCAGATTTCTTTGCTAGCTAGCCCTGGAGAAGAGCATATAGCCCTTTTAAGAGTCAGTTACTAATGTTTACATGGAAAGAGATGGGATAACAAAAATAAACACTTAGCATTTCAGCAAACATTCCTTGAGCATCTGTCATGTGCCAGGCACTCTTTAGGCCCTAGCAATGAGGTAACAGGATAGTCAGCGCCCCTGCTGTCAGTCTAGTGTAGAAAAACAGACCGATGAGAAACACGTCTGCTAGTGACAGAGGATTGTAGTTAAATCAAAAGGCTGATATGAGGTAGTGCCTGGGAGAAACTTACGGTTGGATGGCCAACAAAAGGCCTCTCCGGAGGTTGTAGTGAGCCAAGATCGCTCCTTTGCACTCCAGCCTGGGTGACAGCGCGAGACTTCATCTCAGAGGAAAAAAAAAAAAAACACTTGACAAGATTTCTTAAGTTTTGTAGAGTTAACATCCTTGGCCTAATGTCTTGATTCTTTTCTGGAGATGGCATCTAGTAGCCTCTTGAATATACACTTTATGCCCTGAGAACTCACCACATTTCCCTTTCTCCCCTTCACACGAAGGTCAAAGGTATGCCCTTTGAACCCTTCCTTCAAAATGGCCTTTCCTCGGCTCCAAGTTCATAAAAGTAAAATAATAGGATTAGAAATGCCTTCAGTATGGACCTTGTTTGAAATACAGACTGGCCAAAGAAACCGGAAGTAAATGGCTTCAAGCTGGGTGGGCAAACCAGTGCTGCAGCTGAGTTTTGTTTTCTTGGCACAAAATTTTTTCTTCAGTGTTGAGAAAAATTTGTTCATGTACTACGCATACACACACACACAGAATGCCTTAGGTGGGCCATGCGTTCCAGTTTAACATAGACCTCAGTACTTTGAGTATTTAATGATTAACGATTACCAAGTTTACAGGCCTTAAACAGAAAGCAGGAGTGACAGCAGTTACTATCCATGCAAATGAAAATATTGAATCCAGGCCGGGCGCAGTGGCTCAAGCCTGTAATCCCAGCACTTTGGGAGGCCGAGGCGGGTGGATCACGAGGTCAAGAGATCGAGACCATCCTGGTCAACACGGTGAAACCCCGTCTCTACTAAAAATACAAAAAATTAGCTGGGCATGGTGGCGCGTGCCTGTAATCCCAGCTACTCAGGAGGCTGAGGCAGGAGAATTGCCTGAACCCAGGAAGCGGAGGTTGCGGTGAGCCGAGATCGCGCCATTGCACTCCAGCCTGGGTAACAAGAGCGAAACTCTGTCCCAAAAAAAAAAAAAAAAAGAAAAAGAAAATATTGAATCCTATTTTCCAATATTTAAAAAAAAAAAGGCTTGCATGAGGCAGGAAGATCAGATCAGGAGGAGGACTGCAGAAAGGCTGCCGTAGGCAGCAGATTTCATAAGTGAGGCTCCTTCGTGGAATGCTTGCAAAATACTTAGGTAGAAGATGGTGACATTGCACTTGCATGTGGGGAAATTAACTTCAGGGGCAGTGATGTAAAGTGCTTTCTATCCCTGGCAGTGCAGGGCCAGGAGGGGTTAGCCCACCCAGCACGTCTCAGCCCTCCTCTTTTCACATTGGTAGGTTGTCTCCAAACACCATGGTGACACCTCACAAGAAGAGCATGCTGGGAAATGGCAACTACGATGTGAATGTCATTATGGCAGCACTTCAAACCAAAGGCTATGAAGCTGTTTGGTGGGACAAGCGCAGGTAATCTGAATCAGGCTTAACTTGGTGGAGAACAGCACGGTTGTGGTATAAGCTTTTAGTACTTGGGCTCGTGGCATGAGTGGGGAGGTAGCCAGTTGTGGTATTACAACCAGAGAACCTTGGGAAGTGGGCTGCCTCAGAGCCCATCCCCATTTCTCTCCTCTGCAGGGATGTCGGCGTCATTGCCCTCACTAACGTCATGGGCTTCATCATGAATCTGCCCTCCAGCCTATGCTGGGGTCCACTGAAGCTGCCCCTCAAAAGGCAGCACTGGATCTGTGTCCGAGAGGTGGGAGGAGCCTACTACAACCTCGACTCCAAACTCAAGATGCCCGAGTGGATTGGAGGCGAGAGTGAGCTCAGGTAATCGGCACCTGTTGTGGCCAAGGTGCTGGGCTCCTTCATTTCTTATGTTGGGGACACGGAGCTCATCTCTGGTTATTTGACAAAGGCAGTGAAATTCCTGTGTCCTTGGATTCTCTCCCTGCCTTACTTTAGAATCATAGAGTCTCAGACCTGACCTTAATCTTCGATGGTCCATCGGTACTTTTAAGTCCTTTTGGTAGGGAAGATGCACAGCCTGGGATACTGGCCTTCTGGTCTGGCGGGGCTGGCGTTGTAGCGTTCTCTCCATTGAAGACAACTGAGACAATGTAGTTGCCAGTTCATAGAAAGGAAGACATTAATTCAGGCCAGGGAGGACTGAATTTCCCTAGGACCAAAGAAGAACATTTATAAAAGTCCTTTAGAGGCTGGGCGTAGTGGCTCATGCTTGTAATCCCAACACTTTGGGAGGCCAAGGCAGGTGGATCACGAGGTCAGGAGATTGAGACCAGCCTGGGCAACGTGGTGAAACCCTGTCTAAAAATACAAAAATTAGCCAGGCATGATGTTGGGCACCTGTCTGTAATTCCAGCTACTCAGGAGGGTGAGGCAGGAGAATCACAGTGAGGATGTTGCAGTGAGCCAAGATCATGCCATTGCCCTCCAGTCCGGGAGATAAGAGTGAAACTCTGTCTCCAAAAAAAGAAAAAGTCCTTTATAGTACTTTGGGTACTGTTAGTCACAGAACCAGCCACTGTTGGCAGTAACTACAAAGATGAGCAAAAATTTAGGTTGGGATTTTAAGCAGACAGATTGGAGGGGTAACCAAATCTCCAAAACCAGATGACTACAGGAATGTTTTTAGGACCGCCAAGGGTATAGTGAGGTTTCTGGTGACTTTGTGGTCCTGAGACTGGAATTTGCAACTCACTAGCATTTTATTTTCTCTATTCCTTTTTCCATAGGAAGTTTCTAAAACATCATTTACGAGGAAAGAACTGTGAACTCCTCCTGGTGGTACCAGAGGAGGTAGAGGCCCATCAGAGTTGGAGGACTGATGTGTAACACAGTTCTGCCCAGCCTCCCTCTCAGCTCAGCCCCTTCAGTGTCTGTGATGTGCTGTGGCCTCTGCAGTGGGTCTGCCCCTGCTGCTTCCCTAAACGTCTCATCGGGTTTTCCCCTTCAGATCTGACAGTGCAATAGGACAGACATGTGGACTGTTGTAAGAACTACCCAGTGTTTTGTTCCTGGGCAAGGAAGGTAGGAGCTCTGTGCACTCAAGGCCAGCAGTTACAAACCCTTGTTTTGCTTAAGAGACAGAGGAGAAAGTGGAGTGGGGAGGGAATCCTAGCTGATTTTCCATTTTCTGTGAGGACTTGACACAGGTGTTCTGCTGAGTTGTCACTGCTGCTTGAGACTCACCTAGAGATGCTGCCTCCACTTTCCATCCTGTCTGGGTCTGAAGGTAACGCACACAAACCCCATGGGACTGGTTTGAAGACGCCAGAGCATAAAGATCTCTCAGGAAACCATGTCCCAAAACTCTGGCAGCGGTCCAGCAGGCTTCTCCAACCCTTCTCCCGAGGTGTAAGGGTGGTTTATGGCTATACATTGAGTTTTATAATGAAAAGTTCTCTAATATTCCACACTAATATTCTAGCGTGAGCTGAGTAAGATAGATACCTAACCAGGATGTGGCTAAAGCCAAACTGGGACAGCCATGCGGTGGCTCGCTTTCTTAGTGTCCCTACCACTTCACGACATTGATTTAGGAGGCTCTGGGACAAGAGAAGCCAAAAAGCAGTTTTCCCAGTTTAGTCACGCTGGCAAAATCAGAAAAAAAAAGTCTGCCTTTGACATCAAATTCCACTAATTTGGGGCAGAGTTGGGTGAGGAAAGTTTTATGAAGACAGGCTTCTCAGAGTAGGAGCAGCCAGAATTCAGTAGATGTTTTAGGCTCGGAGGCTGTCACTATAGTGCCAAGTTGGGTGGTTCTGTGCATTGTGGATGGAACAGGACCTGGGTTTGCCATCTTCCTGTCATTTTCTTTATATTAATCAGTGGAAGTTCAACCTGCCCCTACCTCTTGAAATAGTTGTAGGCCACTTTTCTCTTGTAACTTTGGAAAACAAAAGAGAAATAAGTATCATACCACACACGTGTCTCCAAAGTGGATGTGGTTGCCTCGAGGCAGGTGGGCAGGCAGGGGTGACCCACTGGCCCTCAGATCGATGGTCTTGGCAGGTACTAAGAGCTGCCCCACTGGCCAGACTTCTCTCCAGCAGCAAAGCCAGCCTGGGGCTTGCATGTTGATCCTGAGCAAGCTTAACGGGGTGAAGCTGAGGCGTTCTCCCCCTGTGACTGGAGTGCATGTTTACACCAGCACTTTTTCTGCACATGTATCTTCAATCCAACAAGGCCGTTTTTTTTTTAATGCTGAGTAACAGGCCACCAAGCGGCTACTTCATTGTGTCTTCTCAGCAACTGGCCGATCTCTTCTGCACCATTTTCTACAGCAGACCTGCTTGGCACCACAGGGAGCTCTTCCCGCCCTGCACAATGACATTCCAACCACCACCAGCCAGACGTTACAGCCAATCTTGCTGATTGTCACAAGCAGGACCTTGGGGCCACTGGCACTGTCAGAGATAGTAAGCCATTTCTTGGGAAGAGGAGGAAACTCCTCTCCACAAATCCGCTTGGGCCTGTGCAAATGGCACTTCAGAGTCCCCATGCACTTGGGAGTCCATGAGCCAATGGGATATGCAAAGACGCTTAAACATTTCAGGGCTGGTTTCTCTGTTCATATCCAATTCTGGTGCTTAGGAACAGGGACCCATGCTGATGCCCAAGGGCAAAAAGCCCCACTTTCTTCAAGGAAGTGAGCAGGCCTGACCCTGATGCCCAAGAAGGGGCAACCCTAGGCTTTTTTTTCTTGCTTTTATTCCTTTTTGTTGGCCTTGTGCTGGGTTTGTTTACAAAAGATGTATTTTGTTTAACCAAATATTAAAAATGGAAAACGTATGTCTTGTCTGCCTGAATTCTCTAATTGTACAAAGGAAGAAAAATAAACTTTAGTATGATCCTGTTTTAAAAGGAATTCATTGCCAGCATAAGTCATCTTTTAGAGACATACCTGCTTTGATTAAATCTTTATAACCTGAGAAATCCAGACAGGATCGTTGCTGAAATGGGATTTGGTTCAAAAGATGTCCCCAAGACATTTTTCAGTCTTATTTTATTAAAATTAAGCCTGACAATGTGAAGAATCCAGGTATCTACAAGTTTGTACCACACTGGGGACTCGTGTTTTTCCTTAGTTAAAACGTGAAAGACCATACATCTGCACAGAGGGCCTGGGCCCAGCTTCACCATCCTAAGTGCACAGCAGCAGCATTCTGTAGTTGCACTGCCTGGATTGGAATCCAGGTCTAGCACTTAACTTTGCAGCCTGAGCAATTACCTTTCTGTGGCTGTCTCTTCTGTAAAATGGGGATACCATCTCCTAAATTGTCTAGTGTTGACTGATCTGATAACTCACATAAAAGGCTTGCTCTGGCTGAGCATGGTGGCTGACACCTGTAATCCCAACACTTTTGAGATGCCAGAGGTGGGTGGATGGCTAGAGCTCAGGAGTTCAAGACCAGCCTGGGAAACATGGTGAAACCCTGACTCTACCAAAAATACAAGAAACTAGCTGGGCATGGTGGCATGTTCCTGTAGTCCTAGCTACCCAGGAGGCTG